GTGCTAGGGCCAGGTCACGCTAGGGCCAGGGCTAGGCCGCCAGGTCGCGCCTGGGCCACGGCTGCGCTGCATCAGCCTCGTTAGTGACGTCGGTTACCCGCTCCTACAAGAAGCTACTAGGAGATCGACCTATGGGGGCAGCACTACTGACTTTAGGTCACCAGCTCGCACGGGAGCCTTGGATGGCTCAACCGACAGGGGCGTCCATGTACTCTGTTGGCCGCTAACTCCCGCGGAAGCCACGAAGAGCTCATCTTTGTAGAGGGGACCTCGCGAAGAGAATTGATGAGGTTTTATCCGAGAAGAAATAAAGTTGGTAGAGCTGCTTAGTCTTTGAGTTCATAAAAAATGGAAACTAGAAAGTGAGAGCAATTAGTTTCTAAAAGGTGAGAACTTAGCTTTTTGGAAGAATAGGCCTTAGCCTTTGGTAGGATGAGAACTTAGCTTTTTGTAGCGTTTCCCACAGACGACGCCAATTGAATAATCCATTTTTGGTTATATATCAATCTTTTGGCTAAGTACCTCGTCTTTTGGTTTGCTTCCAGGTGGCCGATGACTTAGAGGCCGAAGTGGAGCTGCCTAGGTGCCAAGCTACCTGTGAGGTGCCGAGCTGCCTGTGAGGTGCTGGGCTGACCAGGTGGCGAGCTGCCTGTGAGACGTCGGGCTGACCAGGTGTAGGGCTCCCTCTGTGGTGCCAAGCTGACCAGGTGCAGGGCTACTTGTGTGGTGCCGAGCTGACCAGGTGCAGGGCTGCCTGTGAGGTGCCGAGCTGACCAGGTGCAAGATGCCTATGAGGTGCCGAGCTGACCAGGTGCAGGGCTGCCTGTGACGAGCTGCTTGTGCAGTGCCGAGTTGTCTAAGTTGCCAGGCTACAAGATGGTGAGTTGCTTGTGGTGAGCTGCCTGTGGCGAGCTACCTGTGGCGAGCTTCCTGTGGCGAGTTACCTGTGGCGAGCTGCCTAATTGACAAGAGGCTGCACTTAGTTGGCATGAGGTGCGAGGTGTCACAATGTCACTAGAGGGCCAAATCCGCCCTCCTCATTTGCCCCTCACTCCCGTGCTGAAAGTAACTCGGCGAAGGGAGTAGATTTCTCCTTTTGGCCCGTAATTCGACGAGCTCGTAAACGCTGATTCAGTTTCTTAGGCTCGAGGAGCTGCCCGTAAGGTGCTGAGATCTCTGCCAGTTTGGTACTGTAGCCCTTAGGCTCTGGAAGCGACTTCTGGTCCATTCCTGGACTTTTCCCATGCCGAAGAGGCAACTGGGTCATGTGC